AAGCCGACTCTGCCCTTTTTTAAAGACAGCATTGGTGTTCTTGGTCCAGTCCAGTTTACAGTGTTTACCCCAGGTACCGGTAGTCCTCCACGATCTCCACATCAGCCCTCTGATGGTGACAGGGGTAGGAGGAGGAGCCTGCTTCCTAAAGTCCATGATCAGTTCCTTTGTCTTTGTGATGTTAAGTTGTAGATGGTTAAGCTCACCACTCAACAAAGCTGTCCACCACACTCCTGCCCGTCCCTGATACAGCGCACGATGGCTGAGTCATTAGAGAGTTTCTGCAGATTTGAGACTCTGACTTGTACCTGAAGTCAGACGTGTAGAGGGTGAAGAGGAAGGGTGATAGGACCGTCCCCTGTGGCGCCCCCGTGCTGCTCAGGATGTTATCTGAGTGGCAGCCCTTCAGCCAAACATGCTGTGGTCGACTTGTTAAATAGTCCTTGATCCAACCTACCAGTGGGGCGTCCACCTGCGTTTCCGTGAGCTTCCCCAGCAGTGATGGTCTGATCGTGTTAAACGCACTAGAGAAGTCAAAGAACATGACCCTCCCAGTGCTCCCAACAATGTCCAGGTGAGAATAAGCCTGGTCCAGCAGGTAGATGGTGGCATCCTCCACACCGATACGGGTTGATAAGCAAACTGCAGGGAGTCCAGCCAAGGCTCCACCAGCAGACGCAAGTGTCTCAGGATGAGTCACTCTAAGACACTGAAACAAACAAAGTGTACTTACACACCTGTTCATCACAAATTGTGTCTATGATCCACAGGTACAACGTTTCAACCCAACAGCAACTCATCAGTGAACCCAGACCATCTGAACTACTTTCGATTCGCAGGTCAGATTCTGGGTCTCGCTCTGTACCACCGGCAGCTGGTCAACATCTACTTCACACGCTCGTTCTACAAACACATACTCGGTAAGAAGCTTTGGTTGCTAATACCTGATGTTACCTACCTTTAAGTAATAAACACATTTACTTTTGCACCAAACACCAGACTGATGAGAAAGTCCCTTCAATGTTTCTCCAGGATCTGTGGAAAAATTAGACTGTAAGTGATAATATCCAGAAACAGTTTAATGTCCCTTTAATTTAATGTATTGACAAAAATATTAGCTCATCTGCCTTAACATGCATATGAACCTGAGTGGCATCCCATGTGTAATCCATAGGATTTCACATACAGTCGGTTCACTCTTTGCACTTATAACAGCTTCAACTCTCGGGAAGGCTTTCCATGAGGTTTATGGGAATTTTTGATCCAGAAGCATATTTGTAAGGTCACACACAGATGTTAGACGAGCAGGCCTGGCTCACAGTCTCCGACGTATCCCAAAGCTGTTCTGTCGGGTCGAGGTCAGGACTCTGTGGATTGGCCTGTGTAGACCAGTCAAGTTATTCCACACCAAACTCGCGTATCCTTACATATATACCTGTGCATCCTTTGATAGGAAGAATGTGTTGAGGCGATCTGTCTTCCTGAGCAGAGATATGTTAGAAGCTGAGATTGCCTTGCCGCCCTGGGTTTGGTCAACTGGAGCTCACCCATCTCTTGGATCTCCAGCTTGTGACCCAGCACCCCTGGGTCAGAAGCTTGCTCTTAAAATGGGTTGAACAGAAGTGCCTCGTTTCTTTCATGCCAACTGGGAGTGCTGGTAGAAGCTGCTTTGCTGGTGGAAGGCTCTTGCCACCACACAGGTTGTGTTTTCCTCTTTAAATATCTTAGGCCGCTGGCCATGGGATAACTAGCTCAGCAACCAGGTATTCAACTTCAGACAAGTTGGTGTCTACTGGGGGTGCAACTTCTGCCCCATTTGGTGATCTGCACTGCCCTGCAGGGAACGTGGAGTCCTCCTCCTCCTCCATGTTCCCTAGGTTGATGAGGTTGGAGTTGGCATCACTCTCTGTGTCCTTGCCACCCAGCTCAGCCATGTTTTGATCCAGGAGGACCTCAAATGTTAGAAGAGTGGGGGGGATCTTTCTCAATCATGTCTGCCCAGCTCGTGGTGGCTCGTAGATGACGCGTATCACTTGCAGCAGTAGCAGTTAGTCCCTGCTACTCTCAACCTCCATTCCAAGACCTTCTCTGGCATCTCAGCACAGTGGGGGCAGCCTTGAGGCTCCGCCAGAGAAGCCTGTTTAGCGCCATTACAAATGTACACAGGTGAGTGTCCCTGCTCTAAATGGGGGCACCACATAATGGACGGGTGGGATGACGCCTCTTTGGCCTTCAGTTCTGACCAGCGTGGGTAGGAGCCGTAGTCATGGTAACAGAAAGGGGTGAAACTAAGCTACACCAGGGTTGCTTGTTTGTAGCAAGCACTAGCAGCTGGGGCTAAGGCCGAGCTAGTTGCTGTGAGAATCAACATGTCATGACACGTTAGCTGAGTTCTACTAGCCAGCTCAGAAGAGACGTAAGATTTGCACATACGTGGTACGGATCGGGTTTCCGGTACGGATCGGGTTTCCGGTACGGATCGGGTTTCCGGTACGGATCGGGTAGTGACAAATCTAATGCTAGCCAAACCCTAGAATCGGCTAACCATCTAATGTGGTGTGACACTAGCATGGTTTGTGGCCTACTAACAAGCTGATGCTAGCTAGACACTAAAAAGGCTTGCCATAATGCATTAGCCCAACACAAACGTTGGGTACGCTGCTAACTAAAACCAGGAAACTGCTGGAACAGCTTTCTTCGATGTTCTACAGAATGTAACTATCAGTTCATTTCGTTTGAGGACCTATTAAGCACAGTCCAGCTAACACGTCTGGTTGGCCATGCTAGAATGATGGGGCGGAGCCCTGACCACATCTCGACAGATCTGTCATGGACACACGATGTCACTGGAGCTGACCATGCCAAGGTCATTCCCATAGTGAAACATCAAGCAAAAGAACCAGTGCAAGGCCATGGGCAGACAAGGCACACTGATTCGTGTGGGGAGTGATGCCTGTAGGCTCCCATCCAACAAATAAGGTACTGTTAGGTGTCAGAATACACAGTGAATCACTTTGTGTTGCACATGGGGCTGCATGGCTGCAGACCAGTCAGGGTTGTTCCTGCTGAGCCGTGTCTACTGCTAAAATGCTAATAATGGCCACATGAGCATCATAACTGGAGCAATGGAAGAAAGTGGCTTAATCCGATGAATCGTGTTTTCTTTTACGTCGCCCACCTGAGGGAACATCTGGCGTCAGAATGCACTATGGGAAAACGGCAAGCCAGCAGAGGCAGCGTGATGCCTCAGGCGATGTACCGTCTACACAACCACTGGTGCAGACCATGCACACCCTGATTGTTGGGCCCTCTTTCAGCAGGATGAGGAGCACAATGAGGATGAGGTGTTGGCATGGCGTCCAAATTCCCCATATTTTATAGTGTAATATGACTTTTTTTAAATGTCAGATTATATCACCTCCTTGGATCCAGTGTTTTTGTTTCTAGTGCTACGTTGTGTCGTGACGTCTTGTGCGTTTCACAGGGATCCCTGTGAATTACCAGGACGTGTCATCTATCGATCCAGAGTATGCTAAGAATCTGCAGTGGATCTTGGACAATGACATCAGCGATCTGGGCCTGGAGCTCACCTTCTCAGTAGAGACTGATGTGTTCGGGGCGATGGAGGAAGTGCCACTGAAACCTGGAGGGACCAGCATCCTGGTCACCCAGGACAACAAGGTCAGTCACCACAAATACAGTCTGACGTGTCGCAGTGTCAGTGGAACTCAGGAACTTGTTTGGTTGGTGAAGGGATGAAGCGTAACACTGTCTGTCAGCGATATGTGCCTCAGTGTTTCCTG